ATATACACTATCGTAAAAATACCAGGGTGCATTGGAGTGTAATGGAAGTTTACGGATTTACGAGGGTGTACACACTTACGATGCGCTTTGTGAATACCCCTATTGTTATCTGGTGTGTATCGAACTATCTTTACTCAGTGATGTAAATCGATAACAAGGAGATTTTAAATGTGCATCGTTCTCAATCTTTATTCTGCTTTGCCAAAGTTCAACGTAACGACGGTATCTTGAATACTGATATTTTTAGATGAATATTTATAAAGAAAACTTAAGTCCTTTTGACATATCGAAATTGAACGAAATTTAGTTTGGCACCTTTATAAATTATGGGACCGATAAAGAAATTATCTAAAATGTAAGTATCTTATTGATCGATACACATCGCGTTGGGGTCTGATAGAAGTCTGGTTGGTGTCGGGTTGGCTTAGCTTTTTCGCCGGAATTTCGACCCGGGCTCCGTTTGTGTGTAGGTTACACTCAATTGAATGATATCAAGCGTTTCTCAAATGGGAATGATCCATGCCTTCGTCAAATGACTTAGCAAACTGATATAACCTATTCGAAGGAGGTCTCTTTAATAGCGGATAGCTGCTTTTCTTATTCTCATCAAATATATTCAATTGATTTTGGGAATTTACAGCACTAATCGAGAGAGTGAGAGAAGCGTTTTTTTTTTTTTTATAAGGCTGAATGAAAATGGAAACTTCTGGCAACGCTGCCCATCTGTTACCAAGCGAAAGTAAATAATAGCGTGTTTGTGTTTTTTGATCGGGGTTGGAACCAGTTAAAGGCTAAAGAGGCTGAATTGGATAAAGAGGCGACATCTTATCCATTTGACAGGTCTTCTGCTCGATTGGGATAACTTTTTTTTTTGGCATATCGTCTCTTTATAAATTCAGTCTCTTTATTACAGCCCGCTGCGAAACCGATCTTTTATGAACCTCAATCTGAGGTAGGTTTTAAAAACAAGCAGACCCAATCTTGATACCCCATCCAGGTTGGAACTGAATAATAAACGAATTAGCTATAAGAAAACGGTCTCTGCTTTCTGCTTGGTTGAGATTTTGGTTGCAGAGTAATTCGATGATGAATGAGTATACCTTAAGCGAATTGTAATACCGTGGACCCCCGGTAATTTGACCGTTTTAATCTGAACACTTTTAATTTGAACCCCGCTAGTTTGCACGCCGTGCAAACTAAAATGGTTCAAAGCTCATGGAACGGCGTAAAGCAAAAATGGAACATTGTGAAACGCATCGGAGATTCAAAACAGCCAATAAGACAAATAGAAACACGCCCAAGTAACACAAATGCATAGATATATGTTGCGTAAACTGCTATACAACCAAAATCAGTCATATAACGGTTATATAAACGGAAAAAGAACATATGTGTTGCTTGGACGATTTGTTTATGCTCATAGGGTTACTAGAATTCACATTAAAAATGAGCCCGTTAATATGAATGAAGTGACGTTTAGATTAGCTGGGGTCCACGGTATCAGAAATTTAAGAGTTCCGTCTGGTTCGAGGGGCGCGCACTTCCAGGTATGAAATGCGTGATATTTAAAATAATTCGTTATAATTTAAATACTTTGACGACAGCAATAAATGTAATTTAAAAGCTTTTAGCGGTATTGAAAGTAATCAACACATAATTAACGATAGTAAAAATAAAACGAAGTAATAAAAAATAATTTAAATGTAAAGACAAATAACTTAAATGCATTAAAAATAATTAAAATCAATATCACATTTTGTCAGAAATTACAGTATATGTATAATTAAATTAAGAGTGTATTTAAAGTAAAGAATGCTGTAATCGCAAGATTTAAAATATTTGGTTAGCAGGTTGCGTAGTATCGTAGACATCATATCAAGAAGACTGGAAACTCTTCCATTTTCTCGTACGACCGCTATGAGGCAGGTACAATTGCGTCATCTGCCGCTCATGGGTAAATGTTTGTGTATTTGCTTTCCACCTTCGCTCAAGTGCAGCGCTACTGTATCTGTCGCTTGGATTCTGGCAAAGTTGCCAGTCTTCTTAAGATGTTGTCTTCGGTAGTAGTGCGTGCCGCTTGATCTGGTTCATACTTATAGGCTACCTTTAGGCGAATTAAAATATTGGAAAATTATGCAACGGTTATTTAGCGTTTCGCCTTGTTGATTCATTCGTTAAGGCGAACCGTTGTAGCTGTTTGATTGGTGCTGGCTGAAGATGATGATTTCTTATCTTTCACAAAATGTAACGCTTTAGTAAAATAATAAAAAAAAACTGTACATTACAAACGATTAGAAAAAAAATACCTGTTCTATCAACAGGTTGAACATGCTGACGAGACGCTTCATAGTTACAGAAAAAATGTACCTTGCTTAGGGTGCTCATCATGTACCATTTAAATCTAGATAGAAGATACAGAGAAGCAAGTATAACACCCATTTGGCATAATGGTCGTTTGGCATAAATTCGGGAAAATACTGCTTATATCGATGAATAAAGGGTGTCCACGATGAAATTGCCACCCTTTAGTGCCATCAAATTTCTGATCAAAGCACAAAACTGACATTTGCCGCCGTGTTCGCGAAAAATGTATATCCTAGCCACGAACACGCATACACAATGTATGAGTTGGTTCGTGTCTAATCTATTCCGGGCAAATTATTTTTATCTAGATAACAAATTTCTATGGTCGCTGCACATTTGAATCCGCCGTTATGGATTCTCGATCAAGAGTTAAGTTCATGTTTCATGTCGGTTTGTCGGTGATGATGGCTCTGCATAAATCACAGTTACAGCACAGACAAATAGACATAACACTCGCAAGTTGTTCATCGAACACGCATTTAACGATGTTTTATAGTGAAAAATATTCAATGAGTTATGTCTGATTATCTGTGGTTACCTCGGTGGTTACAGTAAGATAAGTTTATGATAAAAGTTCAAAAACATCGGAAAATATTCTAACCCCATTTAAAATATCATGAAATTGATTTAAAGATTGTCTAATGTAAGTATTTATTATTGTTTACGTTTTTTTACGCAGATTTTGAAATTATCGCGGGTGTCTTTATTTATTCATATTTCGTGTTTTAAACACACCTTTGTTTACCAATGCAACCAGAAGTCGTATAACAATGCACATATAGAATCGTAATATAGTACAGATGTATAGCGTGTTTAATTACTCTCCATTTTGTCAGTGCGAACCTTGATCTGAAGTAGGTTTTAAAAATAAACGATCAGAACGGTTATCATAAAACAGGAAACCCAATCTTTATATCCGATCCAGGTTATAACTGAATCAAAAAAAAATTCGGTTTTAGTCCAGATCGCAAAATGTTTGAGTTTAATCGTACAACAGTACAAATTAAAACGGATAAACTCGTAATACTTGTCAAACTGTATTTGTTATTATAGATTAAGGGCCGATTTATTCACCTGCGCTTAATCCTGAAACCAGGATGGGTAAACCTGGTTTAAGATTTAAGCTAAGGTGAAGAAAATGGCCCAAAAATCACAAGGAATCGCTGTCGAATGAAGTCAGGTTTGGAAACAGCACCGGTATGTTGGTCAGTCATAAAATATCGTAAATCTTTTAGGAAATGGAACCTTCATGCATCTACATTGTGGAATATCGATGCGCGAGGAGTGGGTGGGACATGACGCACAAAAATACCTGGGTGGGACAAAGCTTTGAATGATTTAGTTATTCGTTTATTAGCTTGTATTTCGTAACTTAAGACTTATTATTCTGATTTAAGACTGTTTTCACTGGAAATCCTATGTATGAGTGCTCATTGCAAGACAGCCTATATTACATGATATAAGCCATAGTCTGCACGGGGCATTATTCTTCTGTTACATTGATTTAGGTCACTGGTCTCGAATGGCCTCACGCCATCATAAGAATGGTTATGCGGCACATCAAAACACATACATTGTATGCGTATCAAACAATTCTTCGAATATTTTTCTAATATTATGGTTAATATTGATGTAGATGTACGCTGTGTCCGAAATGACGGATTAATCAACTTCAATGTACATCCGATTTTTCTTCACCAAATGTTAATTTGGCTTCTAACATCTCTAAATCGGTTGTTATTTTTTTTTGTATGGGGAGATGTTTTGAGAGCCATAACCTTTTATTTGTTAGGAAAATTGTGATAAAATTGAATAATTCTAGAGTTGGTTGGAAATGCTAACGTGAAGCTTTAGTGTGATCATTTATTAGCTAGAGAATGATCTTTAGAATAGGGTAGGTGGATAGTTCCGTTAGAGTACGGCAGTATGAAAATTGAATAGAAGTTGAAAATGAACGAAGGGCCAACAATGCGACAGTTTTTAAAGTCAAATGCACATCTTTTGCCTAACCCGTACGATGTACGCGGAGACTTGAGGTATGTCTTCAAGTCTACAGGCAAAAGATGTGCGTCCTCCTTTTGCTCATTACTGACTGCGGCTGTGGAATAGTTCTATCGACGTTTCATCACTACCTAAAGCCCCACGTTTGCGAGAGCATTTCCAGTCGATGGTGTGTTATAATGCAATTCTTCTTTACCCAACTATTGTGTGTGACGAGAGGAATTTGGAGCATTTAGAAGGAATCCTAGGGATAACACCAAGGTACTTCAATTGCAAGGGAGTTTTGACTATGCCGAGACCGACGGGCAATCAAACGTAATGTGTCATTTTAGGATTGAACCCGCAAGAATCGTAAACAATTGTTAGAAAAATGTATTACCCTACAACAAGCAGCCAAATTGATTACCTGTAATATACATAGTTTTTTTTATCAATATTTTGAAGCAAATGGGACTTGTTCCAGATTCCTAAGACTTGTGGTTACGAGCTTAAGACCCTTGGGACCGATTTCTTCACCTCTGTTTAAATCAGCGCTGGTGAAGAAGTCGGCCCTTAGAGTAATAATTGAATCTATGCAAAGAAGAAAATAGTCTACAAATATGATGTGTGGCTAATCATATTTTCTATATTACTAGGAACCCAACCTTCCAGAACGTCAGAAATCTGGACTAAACAGGAAGGTAATTAAAAACAAACCTGTACCAGCAATGTTTTCTTTCGTTTGTAAAGCAAACGTTTTGATATTTTATTTTCTAGTTAAAATTCGGATCAAACAGGCGCTTCAACTGTTGGACGATGCTGATCGTTCGATTACCAAAACTGGCAAGTTCATGTTTCGGGCTCCTACGTTCTACGGAAACGATGTTAACGAAACTCGGTCGCCCATTGTGCAAAGCGCCAGCAATCCACTTTTTGCGTTTAGTAGTCGTTCTGGAGCAACCAGTGATCCATTTGGAAACGTTCCTCCTAAACTGAAAGCTGTCGTTGATGTGCTTCGTATGGACGAGGGACTAATTTCTCAGAAGATTTACCACCGTCATCAGATTAAGCAACAAGCCGCAAACATTGAACGAGGGAAATTGGAAGCTGAGGAACGCACCAGACGCCTGCAGAATACACCGATGTTTAAGACGGCTCTACAGAAGACTACTCAGACCGATCCAACTGTATGCACTGATTGCTTGCTACGCAAAATAAAGGTCAGATATAATGAAGAAACTCAAACAGCCGTTGTTCGTACTGTCGATTCCGGTGCACAGACTAATCCGATGCCAGTCCAGACTGTTTCGGAATTTGGTTCAATAACTGAACTTACACCGAATCAGGTTCGTGCGGTTAGTGAAATGATAAAGTACATAAAGTTGACCGTAACTAGTGGCAATCTACAAGAAATGCGTGATTCCCTGAAAGAAGATCAAGTTTACAATCTGAACGGTGATCTTCGGACGGCCTATCATTACTTTGACGCAATGGTTGAACACCAGAATCATGGGACTCATAAAACTAAAAAAGATGAGAGCGAGTCGTTTGATCAGCCAGACGACTACAATGAACCAGATACTTTAATCGAAGATGAAAATGTTGACGAATATGACGAATTTCATCGAGCTTTCTGCCCGGACGAGGACGAGGAAGATGGAGAAACAGAGGTGTACTCTAATCCGTTGCTGCAAAGCCAACCGTCTAGTTTCCAGCGGACCATGGACAACCGAAACAGTTTCGTGAAGAAGATCGGCAACAAGAGCTCATTTGCGAACCCTGAATGCAATTTTGGAGGACCAAGTCGAGGCCAGTTTAACCCACATCATAAACGTGGTGGTGGACGCGGAACTAATAAGGGTGCTCATGCAGTTCCCTTTAACAGAAGAAATTAATCACTAAGTGTCACATTGTCATTATGCTATTGGGTAATTTGCTAATAAGGTGAACTAAGTACATTACCCTACAACAAATGTAATGAATTCCAATCGGAAATGTATTGAATAAACTTAACCTACGTGCAATTGCGTTCCTCGGGTTTTTATTGTTTATTCTTAGCATGTCAGTAGTCCTTCGAGCAATGCTGTGGTAAAGATTCAAAAACAAATCTGTGGATAAATCAACATGATTAAACGGACTTCAAGGAATCGGCAGGAAGGAAAAAAAAACTGGAAGCCTCATCCAAGGAAATTCTGATGCCGATGTACCTAAAAAATAATGTGTAATGCCATGAATACAAATAGGTACATTATTAAAGAAACAGAATAAAAACAGAATATTTACAATACTTATGTAATTCCGTCACTTAAGAACTTCGATGCGAAATATGTTTTTTTTTTGTATAAAAAATTACCTATCACTTCTGAGGTAGCTGATTACAAAACAAAAAAGAAATAAATTGTGTAAACTCTATTGCTGCAGTGCTGTTAATATTTAATATAGGATTATACAATTCCTGCTTACGGATAAAGTAAGTCGGTTCGGATAACAACAATGATTACTCATTGTAATATTGTTAGTTCATAACACCTGTTAGTAACAACAGGATAAGGACAAGGATAAGGACTTCATTTATCAATATTAAATATTATTTTCAGCATTGGTTTTTTTTTTTGTAATGATGGTCAATCACATATTTTCACGTGAAGGCATTTAAAATCTTTGATTTTTATATTTTAGAAAGATTTTTTTTTGTACATACCAGGTGCTTGCAGCATCTTCTCCAATGCTGGATCTTCTGTAATTAGAACATTTTGTATGGTGTATAATAGTTAATTATAGAGTGTATACCTAAGTAAGAGAGGTTTAACATCTAAAAAGATGGACATATTGATATGCAGAGTAAACCGACGACCTAGCCGAACGCTTCTCTGAGGCGGTTCTTATCATCATTATTAACAATACCAAACTGTTGGATGTGAGCACGGACCGGACACCCCTTCTAATTTAACGGTAGCTGAGCAAGCAGTGGAGAAAGTAGGAAGTCTCTTAGATCTCGGCAGCCAGATAGCGTTCGACGACGGGATCAACAGCGACATTGGTGAACGAATCAACTAGGCCAAGGCTGCCTTTGCGAGCAAATAAATATTTGGAGATCATACTAGATTAGATATAAAAACTAATTCGAGAACGTAAAAGAATTTTAGTTGACGATACAATGCGAAGGGGCGGAGGCGAAATCTACAAGCAAGCGTTGAATCTGACAACGGACACCGCTGCAGAGGGAGAGCTAGGAGCAGTGGTGGCACGAGTCCTGGAGTTTAACATTTTTTCCATAACATTTGATACGTTTTGCGATAACCATTGTAACGACACACAAAAACAAACTGGCAAGCGGCAAAAATGTCATGACATTTCTAAACTGTTTTCTGCCAGCGACAGAACATTTTCGCACAAAGAAGCAGACAAGACCGGTGGCGCGCGTGACATAAATTTATGTCGTGTAGAATTTTGCTGATTTCTGGCTAATTACTGCATTTATTTGATGTTTATTGCATGGAATTAAAAGATAAGAATGAAGACTAACCACTCATAAGCATTGATGTTAAAATTATGCGTAAATAAGGGAGTTGGTAATTTACTGTCACACGCAAGCCTGCAGCTAAAATTTCATTACAATAAACTGTTTGGAAAAATCAGGCTGTGAGATTTTATTTATTCTCTATCTCCGCTGTTCGCTTGGAATGTAGTTATACACGGTCGCCTGTGTGCTGACTGTTTTGTTTCGCTCTGGACGATGGTTTTTCAAAAAATGTACTGTTGCCACCTCTGGCTAGGAGCTCATGACGGTGGAGCCTCAACAAGAAAACCAAGTTTACAGCAGTTTGATCAGGGCCCAAAGAAAGCAAGCAGATGAGCACATATAGTCGCTATATTAAAAATAGCGACTGCATGCACACACTGTTTGTCGATATCATTTCCATTTCAGTGAATAAAAATCATCATTAATACTTTTCGGAGTCAAATAAATCAAGCAAAAAATGAATACAAATGTTTGTTATATGCTGGCTGATAATTATATCAATTTGTACAAACTTCTCATAAACAAGCGATACTAATTTTCAGAAAACCAAATTCAGCAAATGTCAACTCAAATGGCATAGGTACATAAAACTGTAACTGTCATCTGTCCATATCACGATATAGAAGGGACTGACATTTAGAGTAGTGTTTTACTACGCTGCTGGTACCATTTTAGAAGCATTTCAGTAAGTTGATTAGTTTTTCCGCATCCAAAACAAAACTCATTTGCTTCAATTGTAGATTCGTGTTCGTGGTATCATCCAAACCATTTTGGGTGGTTCTACCATTCAGGTTACCGTTCGTTAATGGTATTTGTGTATTAGGGTATGGAGGGTAATTGGTTCGCAAGAGCTTTTTGGGAGCTATCAACATAAAAGTTAGATCGAGATATGAAAATGAAGAACTTATGTATCGATATCTGAAGGAACAGCACAAATAGGGAGGAAAACATCTAAATTCAAAACATGGCGAATTGACTATTCTTGTAAACCTGAAAGGTCGGTTAGTTAGCATGTCAAACTTTTTCAAGCTTATTTTTTAACAGAAGATTAAACATTATTTTGTCGGTACTGAAAGTGAAAGAACTATAGCTTATGTTTTTTTTTTAAGTTTTCATCGAATTTATTTGACATATTATAAACGTTCTTATAGAAATCCAGCAATAAATAACCCGAAAAATGTATGTAGAACTTAATGAAGCATATCCCTAAGTCATCTAAGGCGCAACGATTAAGCTGAATTCCAGCTGGGACTAAAAAATGCCAGAAAGAAGAATGTAACATACCTATATTAAACTTATTTTTTTTAGATGCGAAATCAATCCTGCTATAGATTGTATGGGGTTTACAATAAAATGTGGAACATCTATGCTATTAAAACAAGATTTAGCATGTTTTTTAGGGGATTTTTAGCCGTAGGCGTTAGCATGGAATTAGTACTTAGTTGAATGAGCCCCGCTTATGATGTTCTGTCTTTTTATATAACGAACCTAATTATTTCAACAGAGTGTTGCGAGTTGCCTGATGATGACGAATTGAGGAAACAGCTGCAACTATAGGCCATGAATACATATGTATGACTAATTTTAGGGATGACCTACGCAATGGTATGATTCAAGAAGTAAGTATTTATATTATTTAGATTTTCCAATGATATCTAGAGTAACCTTTGAAATGGGCCTATGTCCAAAACGTAAACAAACCAGATAATGAATTTTAAATTTTTCCACCACTATACAATATATTTCATATTTAAGAAAATTGAAGTATTTTAGGAATTTACCAATTTACCTACAGCATCCAAAATATGTGAAAACCTTTCAAAAATATATGAAAATCGATAACAATTTAATTGTAATTGTAATTGTAATTGTTCAGTGCATAGGCTGTGCCTTCCGCTAAGAAGGCTTATCTAGGGACCAACCCCCTAATCTATACACCTACTGTCCTTCCCGTTGCACTCGTCAGCTCGTGCGATACTCTAGACACACATGGGTGGTCGTATCCGGGTCCTCCCCTGGGTAGGCTCGTGTCCGTCCAGGTTCTGGTACATTAACTTATCTATATGCATGGTAATTATACTTTTAAAACTCACCTTTTGATTATAATGTCGAAAATGCTGAAACTAAATAAAGGTTAGCGATCCATATAAGGTGTGTGCTGCGACGGAGTAGTAATTGAAGGAAATGAGGTTCTGATGTGAAGTATAGGTAATTCTAAAATAGGTAAATCAATTAATCATTAGCTGCTAACAGTTACTAATAAATGGGTACGATAAATCACTCATCAATGAGTATTGCCACTCCCACTGAAAAATGGGCAAAACCTTAATCATAAATGGATATTCGATTCCTACCGTGTATTTAAAGTAAAGTTAGGATCTTATCAAGCAAGCACACACCTTATACGATTCTTATCCTACTTACGGTTTCCTGCACATACGACTTTTCCTAGATACAAGCTTCGTCCAGTTACATTGGCTGTCTCCAACCGGCATGATCCTTTCTGTCTGCTTCCTCTTGCCGGTGCAAGTTTAATTCTTCTTTTCTTGTTCGAATTTTCTTTTTCTCCTATTGATCTTCTGGTCGTGTTCCCATTTGTCCTCAGGCAGTTAATATTAGTACATGATAGGAAGAAAGAAAGAAATAGAACAAGTTAAGTGTGAGCCGCATGCATTGGTTACTTATTTGGGTCATGGTGTTGTCTTCCCTATTTATTTGCCTCTATTCGCTCTCATATCGCAACGTTTAACTCACCCCCTTCCCTCACACTATTATAGTCGGAAAAGAGAACCCATATTTAGTCATCCATCGCGAACTGCGATGCAGAAGATATTAATAGCAAACTAATCTGGAACTGGTCTAAGACATATAACCCAGCGAGTATTGACACATCACACTGTTGTGAATAAGCACGGACGCGAGATTTACTAGAGTATTAAATGCAAAACGCAAATTCAAAATAAAACTTGACAAGACATCGTCAATCCCCTTATTCTTGGGCAGGGTCTGACGATGTGAATCTGATTTTGATCAGTGAACGGGCCCCATATGGTACATTTTCTCACTATGAATCTGTCATTTCCAGCCTATCTGAACTATTTAATAAATGGAAACCATAACATGGGTTACGCTTCCCCTAAGCGGGCCCTCCGCATCCTATCTCTGTCTTATCTCAAATGCCAATGGTTTGAATGTATCAATATATACATTGGAAATGACGTTCAATCAAATAAACCCATACCCCACTCACTTGGCCAGGCTTCAGAATCGTCCAGTGGGCAGTGCGCTCTACACTCCAAGTTCCCTTTCTTTCAAATTCACCCCAAATTTGATATTTTACCCCTTTGAGTGTTGATTAATCACAATGAAACATTGTGACAGAGCACGGACTTGAGGTTACTAGAGTATTAAATAATCTAGGTCCTATTCTGAAAAATCCAAATCTGGCCAACGCCCACCATGAAAATCGATAACAATTTAATTTCATAAATTAATAAGCCTTTTTGTGAATCTTTCAATGGCCCTTTTTGATAAGCCGTTGTGCTTGTCATCAGAAATGGTACGCCCTTTGCTAAGACTTTTCGCAACGTTAAATAAATTCAAAACAAATCATCGGCCCTGCCTCAAGCAGTAGGGCCTAGCTTTGGTTTGAACATTTTCAATCATCGGACCTTCTACGTCACTAGGCCTATCAATGAAATGAAATAAATGAATGATTGGCCGTTTTAGCGTGCGGGCCTAGTAATGAATTGTAAAATGTCGTTGATCGGCCGTTTCGAAAATCGAGTTATTTTTAATGATTTTTCTCGATTATGCGGAACTTTCCTACACG